TACTGAAACCGCGAGGTTTAAAGCCAAGAGCGAGGAATACCGGGTAAAACTCGTACTTCGTTGTGGGCTCGAAGGTCGTTCGTATTCTATTGTTACACTCACTTACTCACTCATTAAAAAGAACAACATTGTGACTTTGCCTCCATCGGAGGCAGTAGCCGAAAAAAGCGTACATACCAACGCTAGTGCATATGCGCAGTTGGCACTGTAAGATGTCGGGTGGCTTATAAACATAAAATGTCCCGCAGTTTCGAATTGATACATTATATCTGAAATGACAGTATTTGTGATTAAGACGAAAGCAAAGCTCGCGTTGGACAATCCCCTCAGCCACTGCGGGATGATCACCTTGGACCCAGCCCGGGTTTTCCGTTCCACAGTGGTCAGGCTCTGGTGCATATTCTGGAATTGTGGTCCCACCGCTTCCTGTGAAGCGAATCCAGCTGTTACCGGTGAAAACGCCTTTGTCACAGAGTGAAGATTTGTTGCTCTTAGTGTCGACTGACCGAGTCGGTTCTGTTATGTTGGTATAGTTGTTGCACCCTGTAATGCAAGAAGATTTACTTTTTGGAGTAGTTTAGAGTTGAATTATACTTTTCATCAGACAAGAACCATATATAGGCAACCAGCATCCACTATGTAGAGGAGGGAGAAGATTGAAATGTATCGTCTTTCACTGGCAATATCATACGTGCTATGAGGGGAATTAAGGATAGAAAGCCGCTGTGCATGTTGCTCATATCTAATCCATTATCTCTACTATGCACACACGAGTTTACATCACTGTTAGTACTTAATGTTATTGAAACAGCTTTCTTCGCTGTGAAGTAGGCTCTCGCAAAAAAATCGATAGAGAAGCCTAGAGAAGACCTCAAAAATGCTCGAGTAGAGCCACTCCCTTAACTTTTTTTTTTATATAGCTATTTGAAAGCTGCGCGTAAATCATACTTTGATTTTTCAGAATTCTCATTATATTCTCCCATACGAAGGTTCTGCCGTTGCTGATGTTAGCAGCATGCGGAATGGCCGTTACAGATGATATTAAGTGCGGCCTAACCCACTACAGGAGTATCTGTAAATCAAGTCGCATAACATTGCAGTGCAGAATCCAAAGATGTGTGGTCCGATTGCCATGGAAACGCAGTTTTTTTTTTGTTCCACGCTCGTGGAACATTTCCCTCATTTCATTCAGTTCAAATCATTCAAAGATAGACTTTGAGGCATAACTTTAAGATTTCCATTAGCGAGTTTACCTTCTCCGCAAGGCATGACTTCGGTGTTACATGCCCGTGACTGGGCTAATATAAAACCATCAGCTGAATAATTGAACATGACAGGGTGTGTGAGGCAAGAGCGGCTACGGTTTTGACTTCCATTTGGTCCACATGGTGTGCTGCAAGGTGACCAGGCCTCCCACTCACCCGGATGTAAAGTATCGTAATGTCCGTCTAATGAAATGGTGAAGCAGTGAATTAGTTCACTAAAACTAATTACATAAAACTAAATATAAGATTGGAAATATCCGGTTGAGCAACAAATTTCTGTACGGTAAGAATTCATCAAGGACTGAGTTGAAAAACAGCCTGTGTGTGTCACGAAATTTCCCGTGCTGACTAGGGGAGACCATAAATGACAGTCCTTGCAAAAATGTAAAGTGGCCAAATTTTCTTCGCTGGTTAAGACGTGGGTAGAGCAGTTTAGCCCATAGTTTTTTATTACCTTTTTTTATATCAGAAGCATAAAACATAGTTTAAACACTACAGTTTTATTAATTAATGGCCTCTTGCTGAAGATTGAAGGAAAAAAAAAAAAACAACATGTATCCCAAGTTCTCTGATTCTGTGACATGTGCAAACGTTTTCCATCTCTTTTTTACACGGGACATATTTTTTTACTCGCCTTCTCTATACGCAACTAAATGTGAACCGCGTAATTCCGACGATTGTTCTTCACCAGGACCTTTCGTCCTAAATACCAGGTGACCTTCATCATCTAAGTAATGAAGAACTTCAAAGTAGTAGGCTCTTCCTTCGGTGAGGTTTACTGACATCTCAGATCTGAATTAAGAGCATTATTTAACATAAAAAAAAGTATTACATGTAATTTATTAATAGATCGTAGCGGAGAATGTAAATATTTGAGTTTACTTCTGAGTATTATAAATATGCGGTGCTTGGTAAAAGCCACAGCGATGACTCATGACTTTCATTGAGAAAATACTCAATCTGTTACGGTCACCATTTTTCTAAACGCGAACCTCCAAGAAAACCAACGCTTGAGCAGTTGCAAAGTGGGAGGGCGGTTTGGGTGATGTGGAATGGGGTGGGGTGGTGAGTTGTTTTGTCACTAGTATCCAGTTCCCGTGCGGCAATCAGAAGTTACTGACTTACTTGATAAATTGTTGTATTGACATTCCAACGCTGGAATTTCCTCCAATCAAGTGAGTTGAGCTATTGTCCCCAAATTCCATGAGAAACCATTCACAGGCCTCTTTGCACGAGAAATGAAGCTCATATTCCCCCGTCATGGAACACACAAAGAAGGCTCGCCAGCGTCGACCGGCGCTCTTGCCGTTTGTTTTTAAAGTTGAAGACGTTGGAGTCACAACCTTGCTAGAATCGGGTTTTATATGTTCCAATATGGCCAACTTTACGTCCTCTAACGAATCTATGCTGAAATTATCGCTATCAATCCATTTTTCATTTAAGATCCCTTTAGTAGCTGTTGATCCAAGAAAACAAATACGAAAACAATATGATCATGTTTAGGCTTGGTCACTGAAGATGTTAGACATTTCTAAAAAAATTGGGACACATGGTCAGGGGTGAAGTTAATTGGGACTTGACTAAACAAACACTCCATTGCAAAAACGTAGACACTTGAAAAGCATGATCCATGAACGATGAAACCCAACGGCTTCATGGGAAAGGATCGCAAACTTACATAATCAAAGCTTTAAACTTTTATCAGGAACAATTGAGTAAGATAAAAAATCTAAAAATTTAAGAAATAATTGAGAAAAATATATTTTATAATAAATAATATCCTTTCTGGAAAGAGTGGATGGCTTCGGTCATTCACCACTTGCAACTATATGTAATAGCCAATTACTGGATGAGGTTGAGCATAACATCATGAATTATCAGTGTCGAGGTCTTATTTATCTGCCGAAGCCGAAGGCTGAGATAGATAATACAATTACTAGGTTTGATAATTCATGATATCATGCAAAAACCGAATTCAACAACTGTTTTATTTCACATTTTTAGACCTTCTAAAAAAATTTAAGAACGCTACAAACTCTCTGAGTTTGCAAAAATTTGAGAACACCGCAATGATGAGGGACTTGGAGACTATGCAGACTTTGAACTCGACATGATAACCCAGTATCTGCAGCAGATATTGCGTTATAACGACTGTATGATCTCGAACAATCCAAGTTTTCACAGTAAGTTATACATATAATAAATTTGGTTACCATGTACATATGTATCCTTAAACCCATTGGGTCTCATCGCTCACTTTTTTGCGATCGAGTGTATAAACTAATGAAAGATAATACGATCATCTGATGCTACAGGTATGCAATTGTTATAAAAATGAATATCCTGATATAAAGATACCTACAATTTGGTAAACATGAGACGTTATAGAATGCAAAACAGCTTGGTCCATTTAATACCAACATAAACACCACCTGAAAACAAATATAATTTTCCTTTGACTCTGTTGAATTTTAGCATAAATCTACCTGCAGTCTATCACAAATGCTGTAATCTGATCGACAAACAAAATTGAGTAATTTAGTAGTTTCAACTGAGTTGATAACGTGAATTAGCCATCGTGAAGAGTTTCAAAGCTTACGCTTCGAGCCTTAGACCTTCGTCATTCCCTCTGACGAAGGGCAAACGTTCGAAACATCAGCTTTGAAACTCTTTACGGTGTCAACTCGTTAATAATACTAAATTACCCTGTTATACTCTCCCACCGACGCAGCACCACAGTTTTTTAAGAAACTTACTCCTTTAAACAAAATTGAGCTTGTTACTTGTTACTAAGGTTTAAGGTTTAAACCCTAACAACTAGACAGTAGATTTATATAAAAATGATCAGATTATTTGCTCTTGATTTCCTTCCGTGATAGTTGATTCGAGCTTGGCCTTTATTAGCTATTCCGCGATCGAAATCTCGAGCATATAATCTAATTGTTAAACAATCATTCTAATATCAATAGAAAGTCAATTGTTAAACTAACACCCAGCAGAAATATTACTTGTTAAATTTCTTATAATATCATTGGAAAGGCAAATTACAGCTGCTCGTTGCTTAGTGATGTCTTTCCGATTTTTTGCATAATCATTGTACATATTTTCCGAAGCTTTTGTAAACAAAGAATTAAAACCTCTGAGATGAAAAACTCTGAAATGTGGTGTGACTTAGAAAATTAAAACTTTTTCAACACCGTCATACTCTATAAAACTGAGATTCATTTTGACTTCCTATCCACCGACTTGTATAAAACTAATACACAAGGTTTGTGTTTCTGCTAGGTAGAAGTTTCCTTTTCAGGTATTTAATAAACGCAAAAAAAGAAAACTTACCAGAATCGCAAGGTCTTTCATGGCATTCCCCCTTTAACACTTTTCAGCTTTTAGATATTAGTGTCCAGCAAGTTTTTTTACAAGTCTTGACATATATATCACTACGCTGATACGACGAAGAAAGGAGTTAAAAATTCCAGAATTTGGTTTTTGATTCAAAATATTTAACTGCGCTTGAATTAGAATATTTTGTCCCCATTCAACTTACTTGTTTTGCTTGCCTAGAACTCAAATGATATTGTTTCAAATCAAATATTGACATCTAGATAATAAGATATCCTCATTGCACACCCTACTTACACAATCTAAATGGCTAACACCCATATAATCTAAATTTAGATCATTGGGTTCAAGCCGTCTCAAATGATCATCTAAGTCTTCCCAGTAGCTCATTAAATATGCATAAACATTTCGACCAATCAACTCCGTTCACTTCGGATGCGTAGGGGGGAAACCTTTACCGATTGGAATAGTTACGAACTCGCTAGCTTTTCTTGGTTTGGAAGTTCAGGTATTATCGGCTTTGTCGTGCACTTTTGGCGCTTCTTCGTTACTATGACCGACAAGGATACAAGTAGAGTTCGCAAAAGAACATATAATAAAATAAGCGATGTACAAAGGTCAAAACTACAAGAATATTATGACGGCGGCATGAAAACATGCGGTTCTGATAATACGGAAAAAATTGGAGTGGCAGCCGAGGAAACTGGGCTGACTATTGATCAAGTAAAGGTAAGATATTTTTTAGTTGGACTGAAACACTACCATGTTTCATGTATGTGGAATACCCCGCCACTTATTTGCATCTCGTTGAATAATAATAGCGATCATTATGGTGAGTGCTTCTTTCTTCAAAGCACACCGACATATGTAAATGATGTAGCGGTATATTGTCCTATAGAATTAATTCCCTTACTCTGTGTGCTGCATAAACGAATCTTTTTAAAGGATTGATTCTTAAACAGAATTTCATCCGTCATATACCGAGGTCAAGGAAGTTAACTGTACGATTGTACTATTCATAATGAGGCCTTGTGGTAATTATTTCCCTCGTTAATTAAAGTAGGCTTACTTTTTTTTTTGAAAATAATTGCTTTATGCAGTTTTATGCTCGAAAATACGCTTGCAGTGTGCAGCATAATCAATGATCAAGAATATGCCAGTAAAAGAAGATATGTGTTTACTCATCCGTTGTTATAAAATTAAGAATATATATTGTGTTACCATTACAAATATTGAGAGCTAACCGCAAGCAACCTTAGTTAAAAGTGGGCTAACCCGAGTGCTCTGTAGGCCAACAGAAGAGCTAGTTAGGCCAACCTGAGTACTCTGAGGCTAACCAGAGTACAAGTTTGGCTAATTGGGGCTGAAAAGTAGGCTAACCAAAGTGTTAATAATAGGTAACCCATAGCTAACGATCGAATCCTGGTTCGAAGTTTAGGTATCCTCAATCTAGAGCTGTTAAATGTTATAATCACATCATCCATTCGACATACATGTACATACCAAGAAGATCTACCTTTATTGATTTGTTGCCAGCCAATCATTCTGTACTGGATTGAAAATTTGCTCTGTATACAAGCTCAGAGTTTCTGTGAGCAGCTTGCATGGGTATTATAGGGTCAGGCCCTGCCAGGGGGTTCCCTGTGTTGCTTGTCTGAATTTAAAAACCTACAGTTATTATTATTTTGTCTTTATTTCTCCACCTTGTTGTTGTTGTCAGAATTTTGGTGAACAAGATCTTAATTTTTTCATACTTTCATATATATGCCACAGCTACTTTTTGGACCATGTCCCCTGTAGGAATTTACCCTGGCTGGGCCTCTATAGGGCCAGCCAGTGAAAGAGAGCAAAAAGGGAAGGGTTTCTATTGTAGCTTAAGGCATTTTGAAATACTTTATTTTAATGTGGTACATTTATGTAGAAATGGATTGGAAATGCCAGACAAAAGGAAAAGATAAATTCTGGAGTACAAGCAGCTCCAAAGCCAATTAAGATCCCAACTGGTTCACGTGGCTCACACTCCTACAACATGTTCTGTTCAGAGTATTTCAAGTCAGGTGAGAACCCTGATAATGTTTTCAAACACTAAGGACAGATTATTTACATGCATTATAACTATTATAGACCATGGCTAAAATATAGGATAACATTAGAGGTGTACATTCCTGGGGCATGGGTGTGCAAATCCCCCCCCCCCCCTAGTTTAAAAATTTTTCAAAGTCCAAAGGTGCCCATACGCCTATGGGTATCATTAATAAACCTCTACTAGTCTATTATTTCTAAGAAATGAATATTGTGGTTTTCTCTGCTAACTGTGCCTGCTGAACATTTATTTTATTTTGGTGCCAGGATACCAGATTTAAATCAATAATGGACAGTGGTCTTGTTAAACTGTGTCTAAACCCCAGGGGGGGTACTTGCAGGGGTAGGGGTCTGACAGAGCTCTATATTGCAACCCAAAAGGGTTTTCATCCTCAGCTACTTTTAACCTTTGACACCATAATAGAGTTGTTGATTAATTTATTTTCATTTTTAGTTGATGCAATATCTTTGATTGCCGAGGAAACTGAAAATCATGCAGTGACATTGTAATAATCAAACCAATTGAATTGATATTCAGTGGAAATGAAAGCTTTAATTTTTTTTTGCTAGATGAGTGCAAGAAATTGTCCTTGGCTCAAAAGAACAAAGAAGCTGCCAAGAAATGGCGTGACATGACATCTGCAGAAAAAGATGCGTTCAAAGGAAAAGCAGAAAGTTTAAAGGCCCCTGATGTTTCAGAGCTAAGTGAGGCTCAAAAATCTAAATTGATGTCAGTTCACAGAAAAAATCTTCTAAATGAGGTAAAGGTTTCAATCACTTTATGAAATAATCTCCAGCCAAGCTCAATTCCAATTAGGTAGCATAAACCATGCAAATTCAGAATAACTTAAAACTTTATTAAAAGTGGATGAGTAATTTCTAATTATCGTACTCTGTGGGAATTAATGCAACATGCAGATGTTTGTGTCCTTTTGAGTAATCCTCGTGCCACATTTTACTTTTTCATCTGCTTCAGATCATGTTTCTAGAAGACTTAGGCTGTGAATCTTCTCTGATTTTTCAAGACACTTCAGGCCAAGTGTACAACTTTGGATCAAGTGCAGGTTTCTCTTTCTTATGCCTGAATCCTGACATCAACATCAAATTCCGAGACCACTTTGGTATATATTATTACTTTGAATTAGTAATATTATAAACATTGAAAGTGTTCTATTGATTTGTTGGCATGCAACTGTATTAGCAGATGTTTATATAGCTTATACTATAAAGTGTGTCATCCAATTGACGAGATTATTCATGATTGTAAATAAGGTGAATACATCATCAAAATAGACCTGAAACTACATAGTACCTCTGTATTTATTTATTTAGCTTGCACCAATGAGAGGTACACATACAAAGATGTACAACAGCTATTCAATTCCAAATACAGTAAGTTTAAGAATATACATATTATTCACTATAGTACAGATGTTAACATGTAATTGTTGTCATCATCATCGTCATCATCATCATCATCATTATTATTATTAGCTATGATAATAACAACAAAGCTGATGATGTCTATAACAAAATCCTCAAACCTGATTGGTTCTGAACAGCGAATATGTGATCCTTAATCTGAATACTGTAATAAGAAAACTGTCCAATTTGGCCTGTGTGATTACAGCTGCTTTTAACTGGACAGGTCAAATCTGACAATTATGCAGCCAATAAAAATCCAGTAGAAAATGCCACTAGCTAATGAAATTGAATTACTTATTCTTACCTTGTGTCTCACTTTTTGGCAAAGAAAGTGTCATATGGGACATGTGGAAATGGTCCATAAGACTTACTGTCATACATTTCAGGGGTTATCAGGCTCATTACTTGCCCAATTACTTCCTGAATTGTACTCCACTCAGTGCTATTATCATTACCAATCAATGTTTCTCTTTCTCTTGCACAATAGGTGAAGCAATAAAGAAACCAGGCAGCAGGGTGCCGTATCTACGTGGGGGTTTTACAGTAGAAAATCTCCCAGATGGCATTTTCTTTAAGAAACCCTTCCATTATGGCACTAAACAACTCCAGGCTATAATGGAGAAAAAAAGCGAAATTAAATTCGTGATTACCAGTAATGCAAATGTAAACTTGCAAAGCAACAGGGATTTTATTCCCTCTCCAACTCAGCCTGAAACAGTAGTCACTCTTCTGTCCAGGATAGTGGACAGACAATGTGCAGAAAGGGTAGTTAGACTGTCTGACAAGATTAAAGAACAAGATGTGGAGGTTGTGGAGTTGAGACTTGACCAGGAAGAGAGACTAAGATTAAATGAATATAGTTTTTATTTTGAAGATGATGCATGGCTTGCTGTTGGTGCTAATATTCAACACTCCACAGAAGCACAAGGGCTTATTGTCCCAGTGTTTACTGAGTCAGAAGATGAGAAATTCTGGCTTTTCTACACTATCCAGAATCCATCAAAACTAGTCAAAGCTTCATTTACTTACAAGATAAAAGGGTATTGGCTTGACTTACAAGGCCAATCCAACTACAAATTACTGAACAATCATCAGGATTATGTTACTATTGCCAACTTGATCAAAAATGGACCCTATGGACCATTATATTTTTTGCAGGGGATGGAAATTTCAGATGACCAGTATTTTAATATACCTGAAGTATTTAACAATGCAATATTTGCTGCCTTAAGAAGTAGCACTATTATTTAAAATTTAACAATATGTACTTTTCAATTTAATATACCTTTTCTAAGAACCTGTTGGAAAGCCAATTTTATAGCCAGCTGACATACAGAGAATCCTAAATTGTAGTTCTTAAATTGTTACTATTATCAAACTTAATAGATAATGATTAGCCTAGAAGTTTGTTTGCTAATTTGTTGATCATTTTCAGTGGTCCAAGTGGTGTGTCTACAAATGAATACAAAATCCAGTATAAAGTACTTTTATTACCTATTACAATAGGCTACATGCATGTCATACTTTCTAACAAAGACCACTTGTAGAAGCTTGATTGTACAAAGAAAACCAGAAACATTACATTTTGCCATTTTTGTGCACTAATGATAAGTACTTTTCAGAATCTTTGCCAATATTGTGTACTTTTGGTAGGTGGTAATCAAAGCGTCGTCCAACCCAGGTACATCCCTGTAGTGGACAACATCTAATGGGCCTCTTGGTTTTGCTGAAAATATAGGAAAAATGCAATGTGTCAAAATGAGCATGAATTGAAAAAAGTCAAGAATGCTGTGTACAGTAGAGAAAACACTCATCTATGTAACTACAATGAACACAATCCTCTGAAAAACAGAACTGAACAATAAGAAATGTAATAAAATACCTATTTTCCTGATTTCCTTTGGCCTTTCCCTGATTCTTTTCACTCTTTAGCTCCTCAACTTCACTCTTACTCAGCTTATGTGCATGTTTCAAATGGTTGGAAAGATTATTGTATTCTTTCTGGCAAATCTGGAAATAAAATGATAGAAAAATAGATATGTGAATATTTCATTTTGGATCATCATGACTGCTTAGCTTGTTATTGCAAAATGACAGCTAGTTGAGATCATCATTTAGATAGGCCAAGCATTAGCATATGACCTGCAAATATCTCTCTACAAAGAATGATCTATTCATATGTAACATTGTTTTGTGCAAATAATATTCCAGATGCCCATACACAGCTGTGCTCATAAATATTCCAGCAATGCTGCAGATTGTTTCCCAGAGTTTTCAGAGTCATTTGACCCACCCTTATCAGAAAAGAATAGAACATCTAACCAGTATATGCAGAAGTAGAACATTTTTTTCAGTTTTTTTAATACCCTGGTGAGTTTTTTAGCCTGGGTTTCCAACATGAAATTTCCCACATGCACTGTAGTCTAGCCTATACTCCACCAACTGCGCCAACTGTACTGGATGGTGGTTGGATAAGGGTGGTGAGATATTATGGGATACAATTCTAAAAAACCGTCTTAGGCTGAAAGAGCAGGTGAAAATTAGTCAAAAGAAAATTAAAATAGGCTGGGTTGGAATATAGGAATAATGCTTAACAGGTTTCTAAACAGACATAGTTTGACGCTTCTCTGGTTTGCAGATTTAATGAATTTAACTGAAGAAGTTACGATTCATAGACCCAACGTTTCTACACTCCTGTCTAGTGCCTTCATCAGGGGTGATCTAAACACTGCAACAAGAGGTCCTTTTACATGATCACTAATTAGGTTTCTAAACTTCAGAGATTTAAAATTATTTGTTTGGAAATGTGAAGTCATGGTGCTGGAGAAAATGGCACACTCTCCACTCAGTGACTTTACATTAGGCCTTTTATGTTTCTTAACATTAAGAAGGGGGTCATGTGAAGGCTAACTAGCTGCAAAGGGGCCAATGATCCAAAAGAAGGGGAAACAGTTATGCAATCATAAAACACATGCAAGAATGCACCAGGATAAAATAATGATAGGACTAATTTATCACAAAATGTCATGATATATTAGTGTCTTGCAGATCAGTTACTCATGCCTTACCCATGCTAGTCTGCCTTTCGCTTTGGTAAATTGATCTGCACATTGT